TATATATATATATATTTATATATATATATATATATATATATATATATATATATATATCCTTAGTATTTTCTAGTATATATATATGTCTATATATATACATATATATATATCTCAATATCTCTATATATATATATATATATATATATATATATATATATATATATATATATATATATATATATATATATATATATCCTATTTATTTTTTTAGTTTATTCAATTATATTATTTAAGCCCACTTAGTTTTAGTCCACTTACTCAAAGCCCCCGATGTTTGACTTGCTCTCATCTTCTATTTCAACTTCGTGACGTTTCTTGAAAAAGAAAAAAAAAACTTTGTTCTCTCCCACTGTCATACTAATAGCGGTTAAATTGCCACCCACCGACAATCGTTTAGCATTTTACAACTTCTCTCTCATCTTAATTTTCAGATTGGATATCAATTAGAAGTCGATTGTGTCAATTTGATATCGACTTGATATTTATGTTTCTTAAATTTTCATAGCAGTTTAGCTTTCGCAATTCGTTTTGGATTATCTTCTGAAAGTGAAGGAAAAAAAATTCGTATCAAATTTTTATCTCAAATTTCTTTGATAGCAAATTTTTTTTCGAGGGCGCTGCCCCCGAACCCCCGTGTGTTTAAGCCCCCCCTCACCAAACTTTCTGGCCTCGCCACTGCCTCCAGAGGTAAATTTAGGGTTGTTAATTCGGTAAAACCAGACCAAAATTTCGGTACGCCAACATTTAATACCGTTTACCGAACAAAATATACGATTTGGTTCGGTAAATAACCGAATTACATAAATTTTACGTAAAAATATTTAAAAGGAGGGGGGTGGTTGTAATTACCTAAACAAGAGGGGTTTTTTTCGTAATTTGACCATACATCAGGGGGGTGGCCGTAATTTGCCCTAAAAAAAATGGTTTAGACGATAACGGGTTTTGACCCGTAAAGGTTGGGTCCTCCTACAAACCCGCCATGGACCCGCCTATCATAAACCCGTTGAAAACCCACAAGTTTGGTTCTTCAAAATCAAGTACCGTTGTTTGACGGGACGAGGGCGGGTTTTGATAGAACCCGCGGGTTTATGGCCCGCGCACACCCCTATTATGTAGTATGTTTCATATGCAACAATAGTATCGCTAGTGTCTTTGAATGGTATCGCTAGTGTCTTTGAATGGTATCGCTAGTGTCTTTGAATGGTATCGCAAGTGCCTTTGAATGGTACTGACACAATGTACTGGAAGTATAATGTTTGATGG